CCGATTTAGCCGTTCGGTAAGGCCATTTGTTTGGAGATGGTAGGAAGTGGTCAGCTTGTGGTGCGTCGAGGAAGAGCGCAGAAGATCGTCGATCACACGGGACATGCGCGGCCACGATCTGTGAGTAATTGGCGAGGAGCGCCATGGTGTAGGATGACGTCGTGGAGCAAAAGTCCGCGACGTCAGTAGCGGTGCTGGTGGGGAGCGCTCGAGTGATGGCATACCTAGTCGCGTAGTCTATACCAGCAGCGACCCCCTTGTTGCCCAATTTCGACTCGGGAAAAGGACCGAGAAGATCTATACCAACCACGTCAGACTTTCTCTACCTCGGCGTTCATGCATCCGACGACCCCTCGACGTTCAGTAGCCACACCCTTCAATTTCTGTTCATCGTCATCTTACGAGCCTTCTACTGACGCCCCTTTGCCCGGTCGCCGCTACCCTGACGCCCCTTCGTCCGGTCGCCGCAGCTCTCGCTTCCCGTCGCCGCTACGTCGCCGCTACGTCGCCAATCCCGCTCTCCGCCACCTCGGCGCTTTTCCTCGCCGAGCTTCTTTGGACGACCGCAGCAGGAAAACTAGTATTGCAGCTTATAGAGGAGAAGCTGCAATACCAATGACGGCCGAAAATCCTCTACTGACGCTTCCCACGCACCATAGCCTGCTTGAAGTAGAAGTCGACCATGTTCCTGTGACCGCCCTCATTGAAACAGGTGCGCACCTGTCTATTAAGAGCTCTTCTTTACGCTGCTGCTTACAAAAGATTATGACGCCATCTACGACGCAGGCAATATGTGTTGCCGATGGCGGTACTGTACCAGTAATCGGAATGTACACTGATGATGTCAGCATTGCCGGTCGTCACGCCGTGGCCCTTTTTGCCGTGCTAGCCTGCTGCCCTCATGACCTCATACTTGGCCTTGATTTCCTTTCGGCACACTCGGCCTTAATTGATTGTTCGTCTGGTACCCTCAGCCTTGATCTACCAATCTTTGCCGACTAATCTGCAAAGCCCACCAGCCGCTTGAGCCCAACCACTTTCGTTCGCCTGCCACCTCGAGCCGTCCCGTACGTGTCCTTGTCATCAACCCCTCCCCTTCCTGACGGTGATTATATCGTTACGCCAATTACTGACGTTCGGCTGACGCGCAGTGTTCATGTGCCCTATACAATCGCGACCATAGGGGATAACTGTGTGTTACTTCCGCTCCTTCACTTCGGTTTCACCCCTCAAGTGTTGCCCTGCCAGATGTCTCTAGCCCAGCTAACTGCCATAACAGAGGACGATGTCAGTGTTGTCGCTGTATCTGCTGTTGATCGAAGCGCAGTCTCACGGTCACCCAGCTCAGACAATGGTATGTTTCGAAACATGATTGGATCGGAGCTTTCGCCTCACCAGACCGACGCTCTCTGCCAGGCTTTGACCTCATACAGTGACATTTTCGACACCGACGATCGCCCCTTGGGCCAGACTCAAATTGTCACTCACCGAATCAACGCTGGTGACTCTGCGCCCATTCACCGTCTGCCGTACCGCGTGTCAACGGCCGAGCGAGAAGTGATTCAGAAATAGGTGGCCAAAATGCTTACGAAAAACGTAATCTAACCATCAACGAGCCCTTGGGCATCTCCCGTGGTATTAGTAAAAAAAAGACGGCTCATGGCGTTTCTAAAAAAAAATTACCAAAAAAGACGTGTACCCTCTACCACGCATTGACGATGCCTTTGCCTCCATGGCGCCACCTTCTTTTCATCTCTCGACCTCCTATCTGGCTACTGGCAAATTGCTGTAGACGACATGGACCGAGAAAAGACCGCCTTCGTTACCCCTGGCGGTCTTTACCAATTCAAGGTCATGCCATTCGGGCTCTGCAACGCTCCAGCGACCTTCGAGAGAATGATGGACACGCTCCTACAAGGATTTAAATGGTCGACATGTTTGTGTTACCTGGATGATGTGATCATTTTCTCCCCTACCTTTGCAACCCACCTTGAACGCCTTTCGACCATTCTATCCATATTTCGACGGGCTGGCCTGCAGCTCAATTCCTCCAAGTGCCACTTCGGTCTTCGTCAGATTACCGTATTGGGTCACCTTGTTGACGCTGCCGGCGTACGGCTAGACCCGGCGAAAGTACGCGCTGTAACAAACTTCCCAGTCCCACGCTCTGTCTATGATGTTCGCAGTTTTGTGGGCCTCTGCTCCTACTTTCGCCGGTTCGTGAAAAAATTTGCGGCACTCGCACGGCCACTCACCGACCTTCTCAAACAAGACGTTCCATTTTCTTGGGGCCCTCCTCAAGCTGACGCCTTCTCTCAGCTAATCACCGCTCTAACGACACCTCCTATTCTTGCACATTTTGACCCCGATGCTCCCACAGAAGTGCGAACAGACGCGAGTGGTCACGGAATTGGTGCAGTTTAGGCGCAAATTCAGCGGGGCAACGACCATGTAATCGCGTACGCAAGCCGTCTGCTTTCTAAGTCTGAACGCAATTATTCTATAACAGAACGGGAATGTCTCGCTCTTGTTTGGGCGGTTTTCGAAATTCCGTCCTTACTTGTATGGCCGCCCTTTCCGTGTCATCACAAATCATCACGCGCTGTGTTGGCATTCTTCTCTAAAGGACCCCACTGGACGACTTAGTCGTTGGGCATTACGCCTACAGGAGTATTCCTACTCGGTTGCTTATAAGTCTGGACGTCTCCATCTGGACGCCGATTGCTTATCCCGCTACCCAGGGATAAGGGGAAATGTTAGGGGAAAAATAGGGCAAAAGCAATATTAGGAGAAAAAGCTGTCCACATACATTTTTCGTCTGCTATGGCACTTAACCGGCAGAGTACAGGCGCCAGCCGTACATCGTCAATAGACTTATTATTGTGACTAGGCAATTAGGAATGACAGTGAGGCGCGGGCTCAGGACATGGGCAGAAGTAAACCAATATGAAGCTCGAAGACCGCAACGAGTTCTGTTGGTGAAGCGTATAAATTTTCTGTTTGAGTGTTTTGGTGCTAAATTCGGTGGCAGTGGTTTGATACGAGGCATGCGAGAGCTAGAAAGTAGGGTAGCAGCATTCAATCAGCAAGGGAGAGTGAAAACATCAGGTCCCCAAAATGCGTGGGAATATCCTTGGCCACCGAAAAGAGACGCAAGTAAGTAGAACAAAGAAGCCACAGGAAGAACAAAACGTTCCAAAAAATTGCGGAAAGTCATGGGTAGTTACAGGCAGCTGCGGATTTTCTTTGGTGGCCTAGCCCAAGGGCTCCGTCTTCGTAAAGTGGGGGAAAACGGAGTGTGTTGGCATTGAGAGATGCATCAAGTGTCCAAAGGTCCGGACTCGGAGAAGACAGCCGAGCCAACTGCCCCTTTCAGCTTGTCTCCCAGTTTGTGCTACACCCAACGGCCTGTGAAAGCCAATGCCACTGTGAGTCTTATTAGCCTGTATGCCTTTTAGGCTGATCTAGTTGCAGGGCTACAGATACGTGATTGCACTGTAAAGCTGAAAGCTACTTACAGCATGAAATATTCTATGTAAACATAATGTAGACAAAGATTGATGCAGATGAGACAACAGTATGTACTTGCCAAGACTTGCGTTATCCCTTGCGATCATATTTTCTGGCTCTTCAGCTGCACCACAAAATAAATAGCACCGAAAGAGTATTCGATCAATTGTGTTAACACATTAAAACATTTGGCATGACGATGAACATGAATGTAAGTTTGTTGGCAATAGGGCCCGTCACGGCCGCAAACCAGCTTGAGAGGGTACAATATGTATGTTATGGTGCGATGAATAGTAATGGTAGGGGGACGTGGCTGTAAATGGGCCAACAATCTTAGCAGTAAACGTGCGTAAGGTATATGTAACTATTACGATTACGACAATTCAGTCAATAAAGACAGCTGAATATTTAGAGGCTTAAACCTCGTCCGCGTAAGACTGCGAAACATTCACACAAATAAGACAGAGGCTATGAATGTGGCAAGCAGTGAAAATTGTGGTTTCAAGGTAAATTCATAGATAATCATAACATAAAAATGGCATCCCGATTGCCAGGAACGAACGGCTAATTAGGGTCCTTTAGCCCAAAGGCAAAGGGACAAACATATTTTTTGTGTGCGTGATTACCCCGGAAAGAACCTTTCATACGAGCTCACGTACTGTTTGTGTTGTATACATATCATGAGGACTACTTCTTCTAGAGAATGGCAACCCTCATTTATAAATAGAGAACGCTCCCGTTTTAATTAGCATACGAGGACGCCATGTAATATGTCCCTGTGATGGTACTAAAATGATTTTACGTGGTAGCTTCAAGACGAGGATCTCGCAGCAGGATGTGGAGCACTGTGCACCAGCCGTTGCATCAGTGTCAGATCAAGTCTGCAAACTGGGCGCTGATATCTTTGAAAGCGTTTAAACACCACGATTCAATTTGACAAGTATTTTATTTTATTGCGTACTTTTATAATTATAAGTGCGGCCAGTAATTCTTTACGTTTGTTTTTTCTCTTGTGAATCAGTTGCAATCAATAACGCAACTTTGTGGCACAGCTACTACTACGCAGAATTTCTGAATTTGGTACTGGTTTGAGCCCATGTTGTTGACTCTTGGTCTTCACTGCAATGTTTCCCTCACAACAGACGGCGAGCGTTCGCTAACAACCAAGGCTATATACCGATGCTGATCTCTGAACATGGTATTTTAATAGCTACGATAGAATATCTAAAGCAGGCATGCACCTATGTTCTGAACAGCGCGGAGTAAAGATATGGACGCCAATACGTGGCAAACAATTCGGCCCAACTTATATACTGTGGTTACTTTAGGTCCTATATTCTTAAATTACAGCTTGCAGAGAAAAAAACAGGTTTGTAATTGAGTACTTGAATTCTGAGAATCAGCACTGGAACGCGTCAAAACGTCTTGACGCATTGTTTCTATTCTTTTTATGACAAGTTATTTACTGCTTAGTGACCATGGTAGCTTACTTGAATGCCCACGAACGTTTGATCTTTCTTCCACAGAAAATACCTTATGGGAATGAGACCTCCATCAGAACGTTCAGTAAAGACAGCTGGTGCAATCCTGAGCCTGTCATTCAGAATTCCTCTCTGAAACGCAACGATGATGAAGTAATGACATAATCAGACTCTATCAGTATCGTATACAAGTTCAAATATTAGTATACGATATACAAGTATGCTGCTGGCCTGTCCTCCTTGCATGCTTTATTGTAAATAAGGAGTGCTTGGCTAGACGTTCATTATATAAGCATGAGCTCATTGTTTACATATACGAGGAGTGCAAGCGGCTGTTGCAAGCTTTCCAAATATTGATGCATTATTTATATACTTGAAGCTAGGTAATGCAAAGACGAAAGGCAGAAAATGCAAATTTAAAAAAGTAGATTTGAAAACATATCTATGCCAACGTGAACAAACGTATCATCATCATCATTAGCCTAAGGCCACTGCAGGACAAAGGCTTCTCCCATGTTCCGCCAGTCAACTAACTAAGGTACAACAAGCGTCATAACTAACGTGAACAGCGTACAGCAAACGTCAAAGATTGTTCTAGTTAGGTAAGAGAAAATAAAGAACCGCTCGTTTGTGGCTCGAAACCAAAAAAAATGCGAACGTATTTCTCAGAAAAAACAGCTTCTTAGTTGCCGAAAAATTTGTCCTGGTCTTGGTATCGAACACTAAATTACGGGACGGTTGCTGTACCAACTGAGCTAACTCTGCAAGAAGCTAGAAAGTGGTCGCGCGAAAGCCAATTCTTCGACAACTCGAAGTGCATGGAGACAAGTAATGCAAATGAGTTTTCCGAAGACCTGCAAGGTAGAGGAAGGGTTAAGAAAGGCAAAAGAGAGAACCACCCGGATTTCCTTGTCGCTTCGTGCCACAAACGGGTGGTTCTGTATGTTCCCTTTCTTAACCCTACCGCCTCCTGGCGAGTTTCCGGAGAACTCATTCGCATTTTTTAACTAGTTTGTACCCTACTGCGCGAGTTCTTATAGACATGAAAAAAAATACAAGTTAAGAACGAAGCGCGGGGACACCACGAGCCGTTGACTAACACCTTAAAGTTTATTTCAAAAAACGCAAATATCAACAGGAAAAACACAGGGAACAACGAGGCTCATACTATTTCGGGCTCAGACTCACATCAACCATGGTTTCTCGTGAAGTGAAGCCGGGCATCACGAAGTTATGAGGTGAAGGGAAACATTTCTTTCATAATGGGGTTCTTCGCTCAATCACAAGCCCCGTCAGCTGGTAGGTCCATGCATGACACATACTAGCAGTTGTTCCGTGTGCAAATACAACCGATGAGCGAAGTTCTTTAGAAACGAGAGGCAAAAGACTGTGTGCCTGATCTCGTGCTGGCTTTCATGAAGGCGACAGGGTGTGGAGCGAGTGAAGAGAGCGTCTGTGGCGCTCGGTGGGGGGAAACGACTGAGTGAGTGAGTGAGTGAGTGAGTGAGTGTGTGGCGCGCGCTGCGCAGCGCGAGCCATCTACCGCCGCGCTTGCGCCACGCAATGGGGTTGCACCTGTTCTTTTGCTCGGCGCTCTTGCCTGGCACACTTGCCTGGCACACTTGCCCGGCGCAGAGAGATTCAACAGAGATAGGGACGTAGGCTATCAGCCTAGGAACCTTCAATGCTAAAAAAAAAACTCGGAGGACGCTCGAGTTCGCTTCCAGGTGTAGAACGTGAAAGTGTAATTGGGCCCCGTGCGCAATACCTTCTCCAGCACTACCTACATAACATCCTCGCTTCTGAGTCCATGCCTCAGTCGTGTTGTAAGAAAAAGAATGACTGTGTTCGTAACATCGGCTGCTTCCAACTATTCTAGAATGCATACTGTAACCACAGTTAAGGGCCTACTATGACCTATTTTTTTTATTTTCTAAGTAAGCTGTGGACCCACTAAGTGTTCATAACGCAATACGCGAACCTACACAGTTATATTACATGCAAGGAGGGAGACTCCTTACAATGCATGACTTTCGTTGTGATTTTTTTAGATGCGAAGCAACTCATTGAGCATCCTGTGCCAGGCTGTCCATTCGTGTGTCCGTGCCAACGCACCACATCACGTTCCTCCGCCGCAGTTGTTGGAACGATGCCAAGTTGTTCAAGTCGAAAATGCGCGTTGACGTCACTCTCTCCCCTGCAGCAGCTGCCGGCTCCTCCCAACACACCTAGGTGGTGTTGCTCCTCCACCCACTAACAACACACTTCTCACTCGCTTGACCTTCTCCCCACCCGCAACGCTCGACCGCACGTCGAGTGGAAACACTCTTTCGGCTTGTTTATCTGCGACTGAACTTGCATGAAACCAACCCGCCTACCATGCCTCTGCGTTTCAAAGAAACGTTCCCTCGAGTAAAGGCCACACCAAGTTTCGCTTGAAACCGTTCTTCCGGCCTCGCGTCGACGCCCGTTTCAGCCGGATCAGCGTCGTGCGCAGCGGTGCTGCTTCGCATCTCATCATGGCTCCTTTCGGGGCACTGGTTCATAATTTTTCGAAGTACTTGCAAGCAGTCCTCTTTTCAGAAGGTGGAATTTAGCATAATGTGAAGTGTTCGTTAAGCTTATCTTGATGAAAGCAGGAGCTAACGAAAAAAAGTAGCATGGATATGAAGGAGAACTCCTACGTCCAACACCGAAAGCTTGGTTTAGATTTGGGCTTGAACCGAAGCTTTTTATTATTTATTTTACTTGCATCTTTCTTGGTTGTTCGGTGACGAAGAAGTACGCTGATGCCAATGCCATAACGAAATGTTTTTCAAAACAAGCAAAACTAGTCAAAGTGCATAAATGTGCACTTTCACGAGCAACTTTGCAATCTGAACATTGGGCATGTCTGGCATATTCAGCTCAAATTACAAAGACTGGTGCATCTCTGCATAGAACTGGTATGGGAGTGTTTACAGAAGCGGTAATTAGCTGACGGGAAATATTGCTGAGGGTGCCAAGATGGCTCGTTCAGGTGATGCCTATAAGGATTCCATCCTGTCTTCTATACAACTTCATCACATATGCTCTCTTCAGCTATATATATTGTTCGATATAATGGGTCTCTTTTGCATCGCAACGCCTTTTTTTTGCGCAGTAAAACTGATAGCCCTGTGTACCTTTACTTTTATCTGCACTTTACAAAATAAATTTTAGCTGGAAGTCTGGACCTGTCTGCATCCCTTCGCTCCATTTATCGCTTATATTTCTAGTGTTCGGACATCGCCCGTCAAATGAATTGCCCTAACATAAAGTATAAAATACCTTTATTGTAGGTGTATTCCATTATATGCATCGAAAGTGTGTTTTGCGTGTTTGCAATAGAGAAACATTGGGAATTCACATATGTATAAGGTCCTCATATAGTTATTCCAAAAACCACTTACACGGCTGTTGCTATAAAGTGCCGACGAGCACTCGTACAAAAAGCTAGCTTATGCATGTCACCAGACAGCACGGAACTTTCCGTAAGTTAGTTGTCTACTTAGTTACGAACACTTTCAGTTCCCCAAGAGATGATCACTAAAAGGCGATGCTCAAATTTTGTACTAAAATGTAAATCACACTTATGGGATCAAGGAATCAACAAACAAAAGGCAGAGAGAAATACAAGAAAGCAACGGAGACGAACCACACCTCCAAATCGCGAACCCTGCGCGTCCAGATGGGAATGGAATGATTAAACAGAGTGACATACAGTATGAGTTGCCGTGACCTCATGAGTGTATTGAGGTATTGAATCTCGTAACAAATTTTCGCCACATGCTGGTTAGCCTCCTCTTACCACCTCCACGCCGTTTCCATCTCTCGTGACAAGAAGCGAAGAGCAGTGCTCTGTGTCGTGGTACAAGTCTCGCTCGAGTTCCGATCCATTTACCTAGATAGGACATTAAAAGAAAAAAGAAGAACAGTAAAACTATAAATGAGTTCTGCTAAAGCTCGTAAGGCTTTTAAAGAAGGCTAGCGAAAATAAATCTCTGCCCGCGCTGTAGCACCAAGCTACCGAATAAATACTTTGGTGTAGTCCGGGATTGAAACCCGAAACTAACGCCCACACGTGGTAGTTCCTTCACCATAAGACGTGGTTTATTTTAGTTTTTACATTATATATTACCATGCGCATTAAAATAAAAAAGAAAACTTGAGGCAGTGCCGTAATAGTGGTGCGAAGACTGTAAAAAAAGGGACCTGGTGCGTTACCCTCCTGCTTTTCCTGCTCTTCCCTTTACTTTCCTCTCTAACACCTTGCAATACCGTACAAGGCTATGTCCCGCCTTATTTTCGGTCATCATAATTTCCTTCCTCCTCACTGTCACTTTTCTTTCTCACCCTCACTATGCCATACTATGCATGGTTACTTCATGCCTAACTTCTCTCCTTCCCTTTTGCTCCTCTTCCCCATTAAAACATTCCTCCTCGTCCTCACTTCCCTCTCACGACTCCTTGCGGCGTTACACTGCACTTGCTGCGCTATGCTTCCTTTCTCTTTCTTACTGTTTCTTTCAATCTCTTGCTTTCACTCTATTTCTTTTTCTTCTTTTTCTATCTTTCTTTGTGTTTCTTTTCTTTGTGTTTTTGCTTTCTTTATTTGTACCTCGTTCTACTTCTTTCGCCCATAGCAACGCAGTTGAAGGATAAACCATAGAATAGAAATGTACAGTACAGTATGGGCGGGATTCAAGAGAAAAGGAAGAATGAGGAAGAAGGTTTTCTTTTTCGTATTGATGATGAATATTAGTGGAACTGTGGTGCAAGGGCCATGGGTGGCAAAAGAGCGCCATGTCTTTGATGTGATGTAAGCACTGACCAATGATTGCAATGGGATGGTGTAATACGGCTGTATAAAGACCTAAAATCACGTGCTGTATAAAAGCGTAAAATGTGTGTATAAAGTATGAATGATGACAGTGATACGTGATTGGATGCATGGGTGTACAATGAATTGCAAGTGACCATGGTATCTAGAAGTGAGCGATTGCAAAATAGCATGAATGCCT